CAAGGATAAAGACACCAAGAGCTTTGACCGGACGCTGGAGACGGTCAAGGACAAGATTCGCGGACGGGCTGCGTATAAGGCGCGCGATTCTGCTTTGCTGAAAGAGTGGCTGGGCGCGAATGGCTACCTATGAGCGAATCTGAAATCGGGATGATTGTAGAAATGTAGAAATGTAATTGTATATGCACAGGATGTATTATAGCAGCTTACTCTAATAAGTGAGCTTACCATGTCATAACTTCGTTTCCTCTTTATTTCCGTTTCTCTTGATCATGACGTTCCGTTTCCACAATGATTTCATCACGCAAACGAACATGCCGAGCCAATATCAGGTACCTCTGTAGCCAGGACCTGGGACACTCCGAGGCCGAGGACCGACAAACCGACAAACGCCTAAATATAAAGACTCTCCCCACTCGCCAACAAATAATCAAACGCCTTGTCCCGAAAATCATCCCCCAACACATCATTCCCAAACCCCCACCGAAACCACATCAACTTCCTCGCCTCCTTCCACATAGGCCAGTGCGCAAACCCCCCCACCCCCTGATTCGGATCCAGATTATGCACAAAATTCAAATAATACGTCCTGCAGCTCTTGGTAGCATAATTGGGAAGCAGTCCCATAAACACCTGCAGAATATCAGACGCATGGAACGTCCCCAGGAAGGGCAGCCCGTAATTATACGACGCCATGTACGACCATGTCGGCACAGATGGATTCGCAGCAGCAGCATGCTGTAGTGTGATTCGCCTCGCTAGCGTAAAGGTCACGTCCCCAAAAAGAGCAGCAAGCCGCTTAAATCCGGGGTACAGTTCATTGAGGAGCCCGGTCCGGAAGGGGCTTCCTTGGAGGATTCCCGGTTCGTACAGCTGGACGAGGGTCTGGAGTTGGTCTTTGGAGGCGCCGTGGAAGAAATTCGTGGAGAGGTAGTTGACGACTTTGGCGGGGGAGGTGAGATCCGGGGTTAGGATTGCGAAGAGGGTGCCTTCGTCTTCTTGGGAGCCTATGATCATGGGCACGGGGTGGTATTTCCCGAGGCGGGCTAGCTTGTCCGGGCTTTGGGTTAGGATCTTGCCGTCTGGGCGGGGGAGGTAGGAGAGCGCGAGGGTGGAGTGGGATATTATCCCGGGGAGGGAGTTTACGGCATCGAGGAAGGTGGTGTAGTCTGCGCGGCGGAGACAGGCGAGGGTGTCGCTTGTGCCGTGGCAGCCGGTTTTGTTGACGACGGTGTCGTAGACGAGTTGGCCTTTGGGGCAGTCGACTGGGCTGGCTGGTGCGATGGAACCGGAATTCATAATGGCGCCTCGGAAGAGCGGCTGGCCTTTGTAGAGGGCGTTTCCGTCGTAGAGAGCCATTTGGTTGAATACGGAGATGGCGCCGGCGGATTCGCCCCAGATGGTCACTTTGGAGGGGTCGCCTCCAAAGGCGGCGATGTTATCGGCGACCCATTCTAGGCCCATCCGTTGGTCGAGGAGGCCGATGTTTGCGCTGCCGTCTGCGAGGATTTCTTTGCCGGGGAGGAAGCCGAAGCCTGCGACGCGGTAGTTTACCGCTACGAAGATGAAGGGTTGGTTTTGGGAGACGGCTGTGGCGAGGAGACTGGTTGCGTCGTAGGTGTTTGTGCCGCCAAACTCGAAGCCCCCGCCAAAGATCCAGAATAGCACAGGGAGCTTGGCGTTGGGTTTTGTGTTGGCTGGCCGTTGGACATTCACGGTGAGGCAGTCCTCCTGGCCGGCTAGGGACTGTAGAAGCGGGATCTTGAGTACGTCGTTGAACACGGCTCCGATTACACCTAGACTCTCGCGAGATATCAACATCTGTGGACATGCCGGCGCAATGCCTGTGCCATCGCGTTTGCCAAACGTGCCGGAGAACTTCTTGGGAGGCTTGAGACGGAGAGGCCCGATGGGGGGATCCGCATAGGGGATGGCGTTGAAGCTCTCCACGTTGAGTATGGAACGGCCTGTGATGGTGCCCCCGGAAGGAAGATCGACGTCTACAGTTGCGAAGCGTTCTTCCAGAATAGCCTCAGGGGGTGTCTGTTCCGGAATGGGATTCACCGGGGGTGCTGGAGCAGGTGTGGCCAAGACAATGGCAGCACAGAGGCTCGTCACGGCGATCCAGAGCTTCATGGTGTGCTGACCGGTTCCTGGATCAGATCTGGAGCTGTGATACGCTTGTTCAATAGAGGCTTGTTCGCCTCAACACCAGACGTGTAAAGGCTTCCGGTGTTCAAGATCTCGGGTTTAGACAGCTGCGGCTGCCGCAGGATCTAAGTGCGAGGCAAAAGGTGAACAAGAGACGCCACCGCAGGATTTGCCGTGCAACACAAGACCGACAACTTACAAGATGCCCATCATCAGACCATGAGGGCATCGGGCGAGACTCATTGTATATAGCCATCTTTCTTCCCTTCCCCTTTACGAGGAAACTGTTCATAGGGATATATGCGCTTGCTATGGCTCCGGGCCGGCCAGGCTTGCCCCCCTCGACAAATGGACATGGCTTGCGGGAATACGCAGATGATGGCGGAAACAGGTTTCTGCCATTGGTGAGTGCGCCGGAATATAGATGACAATGGGCAGTGGCGCTGGCCAGAAGCCATGGTTCGTGGGGGTGGGTTGGTGGTTCATCTGTTCATCTGACTGCTCAGGTTATGCGTGTTGGAGCCTGGAGGCGGTGATGTGTGACAGTAAGACGCAAGGGGCAGCTGCCAAGCGCGGCCGTATTATGCAGAGCCTCAGGAGTCAGAGGTGTCAACTGGGGGCGGCTGGCAGCCAGTTTCTAGTGGACCCGCACCCCTCTAGGAGGTACCGTTAGGTAGGTACCTAGTGGGTACCTATGTATAATAATGTACGCATCTTTGCATTTGCACCTCTTCAAAGTTCACGTTCTCTTTGTTCCTGCATCCCTGCAGGCTGCATTCTAGATCTCTGCGCATCAGGACTCATCCCGATTCCCGACTTGCTGACCTGTTCATCCGATTCTTCACGATATGGGCTCTCATTCCCGTCAGTGTGGATAGGACACAGCCACTCTCAAAATCCAACTTCTCTTCAGCAGCGCTACAAGCCTACAACCGCGCTCGGCACCAGCTACCTAGGGAGATACAATTAACAGCACAAGACCATCAGAATGATCAGATGACTTGCTCGAAATGCACATATCGCGGAGTTGATATCTCAAATAGGCTGCCCGTACGCTCGGGAGCACGCCCTGCAACCCTACCAAGACAGGCAGCCATCCTGGAAGGGCGATACCACCGGCTCAGGACAAAGTTTGTTACGCGTCACAGTGCAGAAGTCGTGGCGGACGGGACAATGCACAATAAGCAAGCCTGCTGGCTTACACGACCTCGTGTAGGTACTTACATACATATGTAACATATGTGCTCTTCGTCTGCGCCGAGAACCGAGGCGCAGGGCCAAAACGGTCAAGAGAGTTCTCTGAGCTATAGAATGGAGGTGCGATTTTCAAGAAACAAGAGGCATTGTTGGTTGATCGACAAGTTGATGCTAGGCCCACATGTACTCCGTGCCCAACGAGGTGGCTCGCCACGAGGTTGCGTTTTACGTAGACCGGTGCAGCGTGCTGCAGAGGCCGTTTAGGAATCTTAGCTCCTTTATCAGCATGGCCTTTTGGATGGTTTCCGGATGCCCTTTTAGAGAGCTTCCCTTCCCTTCTACAGAGTATAGGACGTGTCTGTATCACAACAGAAAGCCAGCCAGGTCTCATCGAAAAGCTGCATCCACAGCGCCACGCATTGCTCTTGGCGTACCATAACATAAACGAGCCACCGGCAAACTCGGCATCGCGAATGTCAACTTTGCATACTGTGTTTTGTTGCTTTGCATCGAGCTTTTCCATTCCTGCACTGGCCACAGGCAGATATCTAGACGCTTGCCCCGTGAGAATCCACTTGTTCCATTGGAGCAGCAAAAGAGGCGGAATGGGACATAAAAGCAAAGAACTTACAAGTGTATCAATTTCAAGAGGAACAGAGCTGACGTCGACCATTGCGGAAATTCGCGGCGGACATAAGTCCTAACACTATCTACATCATCACGTGGCACGCCACCACTGACCACTGACCAGTGACCAGTCTTCGGGTATGTCCATTGTTCAACACCTGTGACCTGAGTTGCATGCATCTGCGCTACCTTTTCGTGAGCGGCAATTTGCAAAGCGGGTGAGTTAAAGGCTAGTCACCTCTGTCGAACCTCGCACATGCATGAACCTCATTATCCCCTTAGTTGGATTCCTTCTCCACATGAGCATAAAAGAATGCGCACCTCGATGAAGAATGTTGGGACTGAGTATGGAATTTGAGAAACAGCGCCAAAATATTCCAAAGGCCGTACGGACCACGATACATGCCTACCTAGTGGTCGATTTAACGCCTTGTCATATGTTCTTCTTGGACACATTTGTTGTACGTATTATGCATGCCCAGTCTTTACTCATGGGCCATTCAATCAGTCTGCTCATATTGGAATTTGGTACATATATTCGCCACTACATACATATCCGTAGTCAAGTTGCAAGTTGCAACGGCGGCATAGGTTGCATGAACGGTGAACCTATACAGGTCAGACGACCATAAGCTATGAACCAGGATGGCGGCTCGCGGGTATTGCAAGACGGCAATCATGCACGCCGTTGGTGGCTGAATTGACAACGCCACGATGAGATACTTTCTACATACTCCGTTCCGTAGATGACCTCCTCTGTAAGAGGATGTGAAGCTGCGGGGTTTTGCAAAAGAACCGTGAACGGCTTCACGCCCTCGACCGCCGGGACAAGCCTGGTTCGATGATCCAGGAATGGCCCATTGAGAATTCATTCCCTGTGGATGTATGATGTGTGAAGCATCGTTCAGCCGCCTGTCCATTCCTAGAATCGTCATCGTCTTCATCCCCTCATCGATGGTGATGTCAGTTTGTGCCGCCAGAAACTAGCTTTATAATGTAATGCAGTTTGCCATTCCTTCAACCAAGACACTTTGGCCGAGTGGTTAAGGCGATGCCCTGCTATTGGTACCACCGTAGGTGAGGCATTACATTCGTGTGCGCAGGTTCGAATCCTGCAGGTGTCGGACTTTTTGTTACTTCCCCTGTTTTTCTTATCACGTTGATGCTCTTTTTTTGTTGAGTATTGTTATTTCTACCACCCGATATTACTATTCATACCACCTGTCCCACTAATTTCCCTTTTCGGTCGACCTTTTTCCGTCGCGCCGTACACCCAGCTACCGGCCAT